TCATGATACTCTTCAAGCATCCTCTTTTCTATTCACTATCAATTATCACTGCAATCGCTTGTCACTCATTCTGCCTCAGTTCTAGTAGCGGTGACGCATGCGAGCCTCAGTCGTTTACACTCTTTCTCCCCGGCGTGTCGGACCGCAGCTAACAATTATCTCCGTGTGCATTTCATTCTCAGCAATAGCCTAGCCTCCCCGGCGTATACGACCCATCTGCTGTCCTTAACATCAATCAATTCATTCATGGATGTAGAAGACTCGAAACAACTTCAGAAGTAATCACGACGAAAATTTTAACAAAATTACGCAATAACAACAAGACACGAAAACAACAAGTAAACACAATGAATCCAAAATACACCAATTGATATGACACACCACACGTATATACAAATAGTACAAACAACCTCGCCGATCATCTCTTGGTAGAATTCCTTTGAAGAATTGCAGGACTTACACCAGTACGCCTACAACCCTTCTCACGTTGACGATTGTAATTTGTGGAATGTAAGGACACAAACAAGATTAACCAACAATTACATCAATTGGAACTCACACAATTATTTAACACAAACATATGTACAATCAACACATCAAATGTTGTGGATTCTGGCACGGCAAACTACCCTTGAAGAACTGTAGGACTTACAGCAGTACGCCTACATTCCTTCTCAGGTTGATGATCCAAGTGGAAGTCGTCCGGACACAAACAGAATTACCAACAGCTAGATGACAAATGATATCAATTCAGTATATACAATATGAACATATGTACAAAATCACACACCAAGCACACTGGACTGATCATTGATGCGCTACCCTTTGAAGAATTGTAGGACTTACAGCAGTACGCCTACAACCCTTCTCAGGTTGACGCCCTAGGTTGGAAAATCGTCGCAGAGTTCATTTGCTAACTTCCTTCTCTGAGCAATATCCTCAAATCTGAACGGCAACACGCCCATGTCATTGTATCGTAGAATATAGATGACGAACAAACACACGGCATATCTCATCAACCAAGTGTAGAAACAGAGTAATTTACACCAAAGATAATAGCATTCAAATAGTAACTTGAAACTAGAAATGCCTTTATTCATGCAAGTCAATTTAACAATTACTCTCTCGTTTACACTTGGCTTATCCTCTCTAAACTGAGCAATATCTTTCGTCTTTTCAAACGCACCAATACTATCATAGTCATTGCAGAAGATACTTGAGTTGATGGGCATCTGTTTCATTGTGGATGAAAACACCAACGATGACTGAGTGACACAAGGTGATGAACTTAGCGGTGGATCAGAAGCTGTTCTTTTTCGGCTTTCAGATAGTTGTCCAACTGCAAGATTACCACCACTGCTGTCTTTCACTACTAGTTCGGGTTTAGCACTATCATCTGATGATAGGTGGGCTACATGCTGATCACTCCCACTGACGGTCTCACAAGTATGCATGCCTTCTGCAACTGCATCTGCATTTATTTCTACTTCACGTTCACGTTGTACAGAACCTTTATTTAACTTAGCAGTAGTAGGCACATCCCTCATCTCACAATGATCAACCAAAGACAAATCTGCACTATCATGATCATTACCACAAATATTCAATTTACCGTCAAGTTCATCATTTTCAAACTCTTTAATAACAGAAGTAGACAATTTGCGTTCCTCCTCGCAAATCCTAAAAGGTTTTATAACTTCACTCTGACTAGTAATACCTTGTAAACTTTTGGAGTCAGAACTGCACTCTGAAGCAGCAACTCTATTCTGTGACTCTCTATTCAACAATGGCTTACCAGTTGCAACTACAGACTTCTTGACCGCACCGTTATCGTCACACAATTCGGAGTCAGACCTGGAGTTTACATTTAGCTTATCACTAAACTTGCTCACTGGTTCACAGTTCACTTCTGTATGCACCTCTTGCACACGTGTAAAACACAACCGTGTTTGTCTTGCATCTTGTAACTTATCTGTTGAGGATGTACTACAAAACCTGTTACACTCACTAGGTCTATATGCATTACTAGACATCATGGAGCCTTCTCGATATCCACCTCTCTGAGGCCTATTCGTCATCAATGATTTCAAAACCAAGTGTGACCTACAAGGCAGTAGGAGTAGAGTAGAGTGTCCACTATCCATTGGCAGCCGGTGACCGGAGTCCGGTTCATACGCTTTTTTGAATGGGGCCAGACATCCAGGGCATCCAATAAGCCCTTTGTCCATACGTCTGCCAGTGAGCTCCGGTGAGCTTCATACGCCAGTCGTTGGAGGTTTACCATATTATACCACTCAACAGGCAAACACACATCTGGTTGAAGACAGTTGGACTCTTCAAGTCTTCTACACACCTCACATTCCTAAAGATGGGTAGAGGGGACTTCTGAGCAGTATACATGTGTATTGATGGATAGCTGTATATCATGTCTGCATCCAAGATGGTGCATGTTAGCAAGCGCCACACTACCCTTTTGCCTCCCAGGTGAGCTAAGCAATCAGTTCATTAAGGTTGATGTCACTTCCCAGCTAGGTAAATTGGTCAATATGCTCTATGGCTTCACTCATTGTCCTTAAGACAGGATAGGAGTCAGTGAAGACCAATCAGATTGCATCATCTTACATTTCACAGAGAGAAATCGTATGATAAACATACTAATATTTCTCCGCAAGGTATTCAGAAGATTTAGCATTTTACTAGAGTATCTTCACTTTACATCCTCTAAATCGATAAGACTACTCCTCAGCAACACAATTCATTGCCTAATGTCTAAATTCATCTATTAATAGGAGAAGACATTAAACGCAAACATCTATGGTCGTATGCTGCAAGCTAAGTAATCCACAATGGGAAACTCACGGAATCCTTCGAAATGAGGACGGGGGTAAGACAAAGCTGGTTGACTGCCAACCATCTCTAGTCAGATTCTTGGCTATGGTAGACTGAGTAGTGCGACAGACAGTGGCGGCCAGCGAGGAGACGGGCATAAAATGGACCCACACAAAAACACTTGGAGGATCTGGACTTCGCCGATAATATATGCCCGATTACCCACAAACAGGAAGATATGCAAGTGAAAATCAACAAGTTCGCAGAAGAAGCATCCAGATAAAATAGGACTTCCTTCAGATGAACATAGAAAAAACAGAAGTGATGAAGATTCCTGGCCGACGGTAACAGCAACAACAACAATCAGCATAAATGGGAGAAATCGGAAAGAAACAACCTCATTTACCTACCTACCCACGTACCTACCTGGAAAGCATAGTTTCAATTACAGGCCGACGCAACTGACGAGGATATCAAAGCAAGGATAGGGGAAGCAAGACAAGTCTTCATTACTCTCAAGTCTGTGTGGAGATCAACAGCACTCAGCATTACGATGAAAATAAGATCCGGATTTTCAACTCCAATGTGAAGTCAGTGCTACTTATTATACGGACCAGAAACTTGACGCGTGATGAAGAGCACCTCAAACAAACAACAAACCTTCATCAACAGCTGTCTTCACTCAATACTATTCAAGATCAGATGGCCGGTCAGAAAATATCAGCAACAGGGATCTCGGAGAGCGAACCAACCAGGAACCAGTTGTGCAACAAATAAGCAGGAAGAAGTGGAGGTGGTTGGCCAAACTCTGAGAAAACCATCAAGTGACACAACACGTCAGGCGATTGCTCGAGTGGGACCCAAATGGGAAGCGGCGAGTTGGCCGTCAGACAGAGGGTGGGGCGACATGGAGGAGGTCATATGAAGAGGAGATCAAAGCATGTGAGGTGATATGGAGGCAGGTGAAAAAGTTGTCGGAGAACTGAACGCAATGGAGACGTTTGGCTGAAGGCCTATGTTCCTCTAGGAATTAAAGGAAACAATAATAATACCAAATTTCGTAAAGTAGGTTGGGATGTACAATTTTTGGGATCCACTTCTACTAAGCACACCCTTTAAAGAAGAAGCAACATAACTGGCTTCCTACTGAGCATGAGGCAAACCTCCTACTGGTGTGTTACACCTCTTTATTCGCTAGTAGTACGATTTAAGTCACTACCATTATGATAGCAATTGTCTTAAGTCTAACTGTTATTCACCTAACTTTTCTGGCATGGTAGGACCTGTAGGAACATTCATTTTAGCCAGTGTAGCCTGTTAGGCTATTGCGACATGCATCGCCGAACATCACATCACACGGTAGCAGTTATCGGTCGGACGTTAAATTATTACCACTAGCTAAGATAGACAGAACTCAGTTACCTGCAGCAGATGTATTACGCAACAGGTTACGAAGAACATTTATTATATAAGACGTTAATGTGATACTACTCAGTTACTCAGGTTGAGATAGATGGAGTGAAATTCAAATCCTAGACCTATAAGCTTAAGCCAATGAAGACATACACCTTGCAGATAAATTACATTCTGGTCAATGTATAAATTTTTTACAGTTGGTTTGTAAGGAATAGTTTTGTTTTTGACGAATTAATCACGATTGATATCAGTTAGACAACCATTGAAAACCAGCATTGGGGTACTGAACAGCCAGCTGTTTCATCAGCCTAGTTTGGGAGTCACAATGGTTCGAACCCAGAACCTTCCGGTTGCAAGGTAAGCTGGCTCGTACACCATTCACCCACTGGAACCCAACTCTTCAATGGCTAGCCCATGAAGTCTAACTTCTAACAATCCGTCAGGCTAAATCACGAATTGGTAGAAGTTAGAATTCATGGACCATTGAACTGGGTCCAGTGGCTTAATGGTAACTTGCCTTGTTATCGGGAGCTCCTGTGTTCGAACCCCAATGTGGCGGCTGCGTACTGCCAATGATTCCCAAACTAGGCTGATGAAACAGCTGGCTGTCCAGTACCCCAATGCTGGTTTTCAATGGTTCTCTAACTGATATCAATCCGTGATCAACTAAATGTATAAAGCTATTTCCATAACATGTAGCAAAAATTTAGAAAAAAACACCAGTTTAAATCATATACAGCAGAGGTTTAACTAACCTAAATATTCAAATTCTTCTTGTAATGCCATTCCATTATGTGAAGCACATTCACTACAGATTAAAGCATACCGTTTATCAGGACCATCACCAACCAGTACATCCAAAAGTTTATCAACTATTGAACGTTCTCTAGGCAAAAGTGGTCTTAACAAACGTGGTTTGTTCATTGCTGGTGTCGGAACGGAACCAGGCATAGGTGATGTACTACTTGGTTGTGTAGGCACACCTTCATCTACATAGCAAAACAAAACACGAAAAAAAGAACAAAAGTAGAATCAAAAACTTACTATTAACAAACAAATGGTAATCATCATTAATGCTATTTTAGTAACGATGTTAACTTTACTTGTATACTTGTTACTCCATGAAAAGTGAGGCTATTGATCAAATGATCCAAATGCCTGTGAAAGCAGTGCAAGCTTACTGACCACAAATTATTTTACTTATTTATTTATTTTATTATTTCCTTTAATTCCTGGAGGAACATAGGGCTTCAACTGCGCGTCCCCATTGCCTTCGGTTTGCTGCCAACTTTTTCACCCCGCTCCAAGTCTGCTCACATGCTTTCATCTCCTCTTCACATGACCTCCTCCAAGTCACCCTCACACTGATGACCAACTCGCCGCTTCCCTTTCAGGTTTCACTCCAGGCATGGCTTGTCTAGTGATGTCACTTGATGGTTTCCTCAGCGTATGGCCAATCCATCTCCATTTCTTCCTGCCTATTTCTTTCACAATCGGTTCCCGGTTGGTTCGCTCATTGCCAGAGATCCCTCACTATTGCTGATCTTTTCTGGCCGGCCATCTGATCTTGAGTGGAGTATTGAGCGACGACAGCTGTTGATGGCCTGTAGTTTGTTTGAGTTGCTCTTTATGACGCGCAGTGCAAGTCTCTGATCCGTATATTAGCACTGAATTCACATGTGAGTTGAAAATCCGGATCTTATTTTTCATGCTGACTAGTGCCGTTGATCTTCACACCGACTTCAGAGTAATGAAAGCTTGTGTTGCTTTCCCAATCCTCGCTCAGGTAGCCTCAACAATTCCGCCTGTAGTTGAAATGATGTCTCCCAGGTAGGTAAAAGAGCTTGTTTATTTCAGATTTCTCCCATTTATGCTGGCTGATTGTTGTCTGTTGTTGTTGTTGCTATTGGTGTTGGCCAGGAATCTTCATCACTTCTGTTTTATCTATGTTCACTTGAAGTCCTGTCTACTCTGGATGCTTCTTCTACGAACTTGTTCCTTTCACTTGCATATCTTCGAGTTTGTGGGAAGTCAGACATACATCATCGGCTAAATCCCGATCCTGCAAACTTTTTATGTGAGTCCATTTTATGCCTGACCACAAATACGGTACTTCATTGAAATAGTTAAAAAAATATGAATAGGTGGCGTAATTACAGTCAAGATTAAAGCAGTCCCCAAAACTAAAATCAGCTAACATTCTGGTTTGGTAGACCAATAAACAGACGCTTATATCGATATACCTGACATATATTGTTAAAATAGATCTAATAGCCGCAGTAAAGCGGTCTAACCTACAGACGGACTGATTTCAGTATAGAACATGTTATAATCACGGTGCTTCTTCAGCTCCATGTTATTTTCTTTATACTATCTATGCACAAAGAAGCGGATGATTAAAGTTAAAACTAGTGAAACGTACAAACCCACAAACTCAATTACAAACAACCTTTGTCAGTTGAAGGATCCTATGGAACCTTTAAAACAAAACAATTTAGTTTATCTAATACCCTGCCTGTCTGTCTGTTTTCGACATAGAACTATGCACCGATGTGCGGAAGTTCAAGTCGCCACATTCCGTGTAGCACGCGAAGCAAGAGAAGAAAGTACAAGAAAAGCATAATAGAAACAGTGAGCAGAGGTGTGAGACAAAGGAGTAATAACGAAGAACAAAACAGTTTCATTGGAGATCATAAGTCACAGGGAGTGGATGCATCTGTGCCACTGAGAACGGTTTTGAGCCATGTCACCAATTGTTTCCAACCATAGACTTTTACCGTCCCGAGGACCCCAACCAGTCAGGAAGTCTACACCTTCCTACGTGGCTTAGACCAACTGTTGTGGATTTCATTGACTGGTGAGGCCAAGTTTTTGTTTGACCACCGCTAGCTTTTTTCCAGCCTGACCCTATATCCGCTAACATTGCTCGTCGAGGGAGGCGATGACTAGGCATACATAACACATGTCCTAACTATCTCAGTCTATGTAACTTCACGACTTCGTCGATTGATTTCCCCTTCTTATCTAGAACTCGACGCCTAACTTCAATGTTGCCCACCTTATTATGCCACTTTACACGGGAGATAGAGCGCAGGCACCTATGATCAAAGACAGCTAGTCTTTTCTCATGTCTTCCACTCTCAGTGGCCAGGTCTCACAACCATAAAGGAGGACGGAGTGGACTGATGAGCAGTACAAACGCCCTTTGGTCGATAGTCGAACATCTGGTCTACGCCAGAGTCGGCGTAAACTAACAAATGCGAAACGAGCCCCCTGTATTCGTGCAGGTTGGAAAAGAGCCAGTGGTGGCCAAACAAAAACATGGCATCAATCCATGAAATCCTTGACAGTTAAACTGAGTCAGGTAGGGAGATGCAGACTCCCGGGTTGGGGCTCTCGGGACTCTAGGAATCAATGGCTGGAGACAATAGGTGACATGGCTCAAAATCGTTGTCAATGGCGCAGATGTATTCAGTCTCTGTAATCTTTCATATTCCTTTCTACCATTACCCATTGTTTCACTCTTATACTTGTCAAACTCTATTGATTCTCTTTACTCATCTTCTTGTCTACCTCTGTGTGCTATTTGGAACGTGGCAACTCGAACTGCTGCACTTCGGTGCCAAGTTCTATGTTGAATCCAGACAGACAGAGTATTCGTGCTGAGATTTCGTCAGCAATGATTGTCAGGTCAAATACACAGGTCAAAGTAGTAGAACGGGGTTAGTCAGTCAGACTGCCGGAGCATCACAAAATCCCAGTAAAATGTAGACTAGATGACCCTAATAAGATAAGAAATCTGATATATAGTCCACCTATAGCACTACATTTAATTATACACAACCATTCAATAGGATAGGATAAGGTGACACTTTTAAAATCTAATGTAACAAGGGTGAAGGGAGAGATTGATAACAGAAGCTTTGTTTATCGAATCAAATGAATGAAAATACGTGTAATAGGAATGATTCAACATCTGTTCACCCAGATATCTGGAAAATTCTATTACCCGACCAACGACAAATAGGAGAGAACAAAGAAAACTATAAAACTCAAGTTTCCAAGTCGTGTGATTACAATTGATATGATTATGAATTGTGTTCAAAACGTCATCCAGTAAATAATACTGCTGTTTCACTATGAGATGTATCTAATATATAAAAATTAATATGGAATTACCACAGTGCCCAAGTTTTACACATATGTTAATTAGTAAAACGTTGATTGACTAACAACGCTAAAACAAGCAATAAAGGTTGATAAAGCAGGATTTAATGAATTCATCAAATTTCGGTAGAACTCGTCAGCTGAATACTCTACATACACGGATATATATACATTCGCACGTGTCTTTCTGCATGATTAATTCTATGTAGTTTGTTTACTTATCAGTCTTATATCTCCCAATGTAATTTCAAAAGTATATATATCCGTGTATGTAGAGTATTCAGCTGACGAGTTCTACCGAAATTTGATGAATTCATTAAATCCTGCTTTATTAACCTTTATTGCTTGTTTTAAATTCGTATCGGGAAATAAATGTTAACAACGCTAAGTTATAATAAATCTTATACTTAACGATGAGTCGAAACTACAAATGTCAATCCATATGTGTGATAAGCATGTGAAGTGATAATTGGATGTCAGGTTGAAAAAAAAATAAGGCAATAAACGACCATCTACTTCTCAAGCTGCAGTATACTTCTCCGAGTGGTTTATTCACAAACAACTGTCAATTATACTAGGGTGGTGTGCACTGCTTCTTTGAGGTCCTTAGGATGCCAAAAATCAATGACTTGAAACTTTGTGATATGACTTTAAATCGTCATCAGTGGTGCAGATGCACTCACTCTTTCTAATCGCAAAAATCCACTGCGTCATGTTTTTCTACGTTGCGAATTTACCTCCCATCCTAAATTTCTGCAGATTTCTACGGTGAACATTGATCAGTCACCAACCACACCTTCATTAAATGTAAGTAAGGCCATAAGTCTGAGGGCAGACAGTAAAATTGATATCACCATGGTAAAAAACATAATGTATAATTTTGTCCGGAGATCCATGGTAAGTGTAAAGAGTAAACAAATATGGAAACGCAGTATTTGATGAAATCACAAACTTCAAGAAGACCCATTAGCTAAATACTCCATAGATATAACTATTTATATTCTCAAAAAAAATCAATATACACACTGTGATAAATGCTTACTAAGTTGAAAGGATGTATGATCAATAAAAACCGATAACTTGCTAAACTACACTATTCATATACTAACCATATATATTCAACTCTTAACATACATCCCGAGTGAGGTCAAGACTGGAAAACTGTATTCAGGGGGCCGGCCATTGTCTTAAATGGGAATACTCTAGGAAGGCTTCAAAGGAAGGCAACTAGAGGGAATTAAACTCCCATCAGTTCAGACTCACTTGGACTTAGTTATCATGGTGAGTCACGATTTAAAAATTACAGCACACTGTTGCGCGGTGGCTGCAGGCAGTTTCAAACCCCTATGGGCGATTCGCACAGCCTTTACTAGAATCACCAGAGATATTTCCACCTTATCTACATCTCTGGTGAGTTCAAGACTAGAAAACTGTATCCAGGCAGCCAGTCCTTGTCTAAAAGGGGACTCAAACATTCTAGAAAGGGTTCAAAGGAAGGCAACACATATGGTTTTCGGCATGACTAACTTACCATATGAGGAAAGACTAGACACTTTAAATCTCTTCTCCCTGTCATACTGTAGGCAGAGAGGAGATCTAATCACGATGTCTAAAACTTTAAATAATGACTACGAACCTGCCTTATTCTCTTCCTTCCACCAGGTCGGAACACCTTAGAGGACATAAAAGGAGAGTTTAAAAGCCAAGAAGAAATCATATTTCTGTTGAGTACTGGTTCTCACATCGAGTCATAAACTCTAGGAATCGACTCCTAGAAGAAGTGGTGTCTGCAACTTCAATTGGCTCATTCAGGAAGGGCTTGGACAAGCACAGAAATTTACTAGAAAAGGATCAACATAGACTTCAAGCCTTTTATCCTAAATCAACATGTATATATCCAATCATTTTTGTTAAGTATTCAGCCTACGAGTCCTACCAATCAAATACTTTTTTCTCTTTACAATTACTGCTTGCTGTGAAGTGCAACATTAATGCAATAAGACGCACATGAAGCACACACGATAAAAAGGGCAATGAATTGCGTACTTGATAATCCAGAATTCGAAAGTTTATCACCTGCAGCAGCATCGCACGTATTTCGACGTCGTACTTCTGACTGAGGGGATCCCAAGTTGATCATGGAGCCAAATCCAGGCTTTGCAAGCTTTCTTTCCTACTCAAAAAAATAAAAATGATAACATGAAGTCGTCCTACCTCTGCAGCCATGGAAGCAAATGTTAATGGATCAAAGCGCTTTAGAATCTGTTGCGCTTTGTTGTATGTCTCCTTTTCCATCACATCCTCTAACTTTCATAAGAAATAAATACATTTGTTAAAACGCACCAATTTTTGTTTTGTAGCACGCAGCTTTTTCAGTTTTTCATCTAAAAATAGTTTACGCATTAATCGAACTAACTTGTCCTGTTAACGCGTCTCAAGAATATCGTACGGAGAAAAAATTTCAACAGGCATATGCTGAAAAATGAGGAGATTAGAAGTGAGCATACCACAGCGGATAGAGAGCGAATATCAGCCATACTGTGATTCGTCCTGTCACTGTTCGTGGCCAATAGTAGTAATAAACAATGATGAAGCTTAGACCAAAGGTTATGAACGAGTAGAAGATAAGTCTATATACAAATTGCTTTTCTGAATCGATACTTTTTGACCGATCACTCTCCAGTTCTAAAATTTCCTAAATTTACTGCATTACATTTCCAATATTATTATTTACATCATCAATATCCTCCAGCTGCTCAACAATAGACTTTTTAGACCTCTAAATTTAGTAAGAAAAAATTGTAAAGCTGCAAAACCTTGAAAATCCAGAATAAACATTTCTTAACTGACAGCATGGATACACTTTACGAACATGACCTTGACAATGGTTGATTTAGGCGCGATGACGATTTACAATCTATATATATTAGCGTTCATAAACAACTACGTCAATCGAAAAGTTTTATACCATTCCTTCCGGTTTGCCGCAGTGCTAATTCTTAGTGCTGAGTATATGTATACATATATCAGTATATATGGTACTAGCAACTAACTTTGGAGAAGTGACGTACTAGTTCCAGATTTGTTAATAATAACGATCTACTTTACTCCAAAAACATTACTTATAATGCAGAAGGAATTCTCAGCATTTGCCACAATACCACATCTGATTTATTCAAAATACTAATAAAATTAACCAGAGTAATCTGCCCACATTTACGGTATAGAGACAGAAATATTCGAAAACTGAGGATAATAAACATAGTAATAATAGTGGGTTTCTTTCAGACAGTATTGTCAATTCAGCTTTTACATTTAAGCTTGTTGTAGACTGTTGCATCTAACGTTTTGTTGAAATAGCATGGTAAGGGAAAAGACAGAAATAATAGCATAGTAACACCAGCCTGTGAAACGGCCACGCCAAAGTGCAGCGTGCCTAATGCACTAATGGATTCCAGTTGCTGCGAAAATAAGGTCGAAGAAACCGACTCCACTTAACTGGTGCGAAAAACTCAGAAACTCACAGACTCTAGTTACAGTGTCATCATCTGGAACTTAGAGGAATCGAAAAGTACAGATCCAGCTGCCCGACATGGAGGTGATTTGAAAGAGGTTGGCTCCATTATACGGAAAATAACTATCGGAAAAACAATTGGAGTCCACATAAGGCCATCGAGATCGGAAAACGAAACCTCGATGCCATGGAAACTTCTCGTCGACTACTTAAGATAGTTTTAGGGATCGAAACAGAGAGTAGCCCCATCCTCAATAACGCTTTCAAAAACAGCAATAAAAATAAGGCCTGATTGGCCATTAGCAAGACAACACACACAACTCAACTCTCAAGAACTAAAGGCCCTCAAAAAGCTGAAAAATAGGAAGGATATCGTCATTTTACCAGCCAACAAAGGAAGAACAACAGTAGTCATGGACAGAGAAGAATACACCAAGAAAGCTGAAGAACTACTCAAAGATGAGGATGTATATCAACAACTCCCAACAAACCCCATACAAACATTGGACAACCGCATCCAAAGGACATTAAACAAGCTCACGAAAACTGGACAGATCACAAAACAAGACCAATGGTGAATGAAATCCAGTGGACCAGTCATACCTCGATTCTACGGCAGACCCAAAATACACAAGGCAAATATCCCGTTACGACCAATTGTATCACTCCCAGGAACTCCAACATATAATTTATCCAAAGAATTGTACCGAAAACTAAAACACTTAACGGAATCTTGTGATCACTCCATCAACTCTGCTATCCAATTCCTAGAGAAAATCAGAGGCATCCAAATATATGAACAAGAAATAATGGTATCCTTCGACGTGACAGCATTATATACCTCTATCGGACAAAACCTAGCAAAAGAAACCATGGAACAATTACTTAGCAACGACGAACAACTTCCACAACAATCAAAAATGCAATACACAAGCTGGATGGAATGCATAAATCTATGCCTAACAACATACTTCCAACTCAACGGCCAAATATATGAACAAGTCAAAGGAACACCCATGGGATCACCAATGTCAGGTTTGATTGCAGAAGCAGTGATGCAAAGACTCGAAAACATAATTCTATCAAATATCAAACCCAAGATTTGGATACGCTACGTCGACGACACATTTGTAGTAATCAAAAGAAATGAATCAGATAAAACTCACAACTTAATAAACAACGTCTTCGACGACATCAAATTCACAAGAGAAGAGGACTCCGAGAACAAAATACCATTTTTGGACGTCTTAGTAAGGCGAACAACTACAGGAGAATTAGAAACTCAAGTTTATAGGAAATCAACTCACACAGACCAAATACTGAATTACAACGGCAACAATTCAGTAATACACAAAACGAATTGCATACAAACACTAAACAAGAGAGCCAGTCAGGACTCAGTGCAGCACTCCCACCTTAAAGAAAATTGAAGAAAAGTATCTCATGGACGTCTTCCAAAAGGATGGATATCCACGGAATTTCATCAAGAGACATATACGCCGAAGCCAACCTACCAAAGCAATAGCCACCAAGGAAAGCACGAAGAAAATCGTTTTACCACATATAAAGGATATCTCAGAAATCACTACAAGACTCTTCAAACCTTTAGGAATTGACGTCGTACACAAACCAACAAAGTCGCTTCACTCAATTCTATGTCAACCGAAACAATCAACGGCGAAAGAAGATAAAACCAACATCATCTACAAAATAAATTGTTACAACTGCGAAAGACACTACATTGGCCAAAGTGGACGTCCCCCTCGTCTTCGTATCAACGAACAAAAGCTAGCCATCAAAAGACATGATATCCACTCCCTCGCCATATCACTGCATACAGACAACCACGGACATCGATTCGACTGGGACAACCAGCGTTCAAATATTAGACAGATGAAATAAAAAGCATGCTAGAGGATTTTTAGAAGCTTGGCATTCAAGTGAATCACCAATCAGTAGACACGTTGAGATAGACAAGTGATAAGAAAGAAACCTCACACACAAGGGGTCAAAGTTCATGCCAAAGAAACAATCAGTTCCAATACAAGTACCCTAGAAGGTGTGAAAACACAAATAAACAACCTATCATGTCCAAGGTCACCAGGAGAGATGATTAATAAACAGGTGGAGAAATCTAAAAGCTCACTTCAAATTGAAGTATGCACTGAAGACGTCAACCAGTAGGGTGATGAAAGCTTCGCAAACCAACCATCCAGCTCAGAGAACAAAACCACATCAGAATCATCCGCCTGAGCTATAAATCTTCTCTATCATATCTAAATATGCGGCTGGGTTTGTATCGGGAACAGTAACCCTGATCTAACTATTGAAATAAATAGGCGAAAACCAGCTAAGCTCAACTCAGTCGTAGATGTCGGTATTAGATACTCTAGTAACCTAACGTTCGCTGAACAGACTGATTATGCCAGACGTAAAACACGAAGGCTGATAGGATGCATAACAAACAATTTCTTTTGTCGCGAAACTAGGGTTTTATTATACAAAGTATGTGTCCGACCTATCTCAGAATACTGCCCGTTTATTCTTAGCGGACTCAGACAAAATGACAAGCTTAAATTAGAGGGAGTGCAACGGCAGTTTACCTCAAGAACTCTTGGTTTAGAAAGTGGTCTGGAATACCATGAGCGATGCGAAAGACTAAGATTAGAACCCTTCTGGAAAAGACGTCTCAAGCTAAACCTTATCTTTTACAATAAGCTAAATGGTCTTCTCTTGCTTTCCTTCGAGCCAATGACTAAACCTACCACTGTCATCAGTTACAATCTGAGAAATCATCACAACCTAGCTGCTATAGAGCACTGTCAGACTTACGTGCGGTACAACTTCTTCTTAAATAAGTTTTCAGTCATTTGGAATAGGCTACCAGCCAGTGTGCGCGATGCAAACACACTTCCAGTGTTCATCTCCTCAGTCACCAGACTGCTCAAAATGACAATGCACTTATACATCTGACTCTTACACCCTCTTTTTCACCTTACACAGATATTTTAGGTTCATTAAACGTGTAGTTACAACAAACCACAGTTATAAATTTTAATATTATTGCAACCAGATGATAAACATGTCTACACAGGACAGTAATATTAGTTCACACAGAATTTAAAAGTTAGCATAACGGGACTAGTTAGTTAACGAACAAAAATAACCATAGTTACCAGACAGAATATATAAGTATATATTTATTAATCACTCCTTAAGGACTCCTCTTGCTTTCTTTTGCTTTGCTGTTGTTTGTCTTCCTATTTCTCTCACCATTTTAGCTTCCATTGGACTTTTTGAATGAGAATGAATAATGTGGATGTTTGACCATTTACAATGACAAATGATCTGCAAACATTATTGGTCCCGTATCTTTCAGTTGCCTAGTTAGTAACGAATTAACTTTCCCCATGACGCAACCTGGATTGCATTTGCGGAATATACTCTTATACCAATGGAAAAGTATCTATTTGTAATAAAATGTCACGATTGTAGCTTATAACATAACTGGTCGTATCTGTAAAAATAGCTTTCTTATTACCCAATTTGGATATAAATCAAAAATGAGATTCGGATTTGTATACACCTAAGTTATATTGTGGAATTACTTCAAGCTTTATTTTTTCCCAAGTACTTTTAATCCATCTGAATCTTACTTGGGTTTTTTTGTTAATGCGAAGTCAATATTCCTATATTTCATGATGTGCTCCATTGAATGACTGGTTATCATATTGTTCCCACAAACCGAAGACAAAAACGTCAGCAACCATGTAATTTAACCATAAACCAAATTTATGAAATTTAAATAATGCTTATCCATGACTGTGCATTTGGTGTGTCCTACACAGGTAGGGAAAAAATGTGTATTTTGTTAAGACATTATTATTAA